CCTTACTTAGGTAAAGTTAAATATTTAAGATAACTTCTATTAATCACCAGAAAACCTCAAGAGTTTTGTCAAAAATGTTAATATGCGTTATCTGACTGAAAAAATTAATGCTACCTTTGAAAAATACATTGCATTAGCTCATTTAAGATATATATTCGCAAATTATTGATATTAAATTTAGTTAAAACAAGTAACATTAATCAAAATCATACTAAAAATATCAGTTTTGTAATGCATAGACATCTGAATTTAGGTATGGGCGAGAATTGATTAGATTTTTGGAGTGCATATTCGATAGCAAAGAGGGCGAATACACAAGTTTTTTAATGCTATCTCCACTATGACTAATTTCGTGAAACGAAATTATTATGCTGAAAGTTAGCTTAGAGTTAAGAATCCTAAAAGGTATATATAAATGTATATGATAAAAATAAAATAATTACCGCAAATTGTTATGCCTTGAAAAAATATTTTGTTATTTAATTTATATCTAGCTAAAATTAGAGATATAACCATATATCATATAGGATTATTTTGATATTTCACGGAGTCATTTAGTAAATACAATACAATTTTTCTCACTTGATAATTTTCAAACAAACTGCTGTACAATATGAGGTCTCCTAGGCATGAAGACATAGAGGGACACACCTTGCCCCGAGTCCATAGTATGCATGATAATTTCCAGATTTAGACCGTGGACTTGGTACATTCCCAGACGTTTCGCCGGAATCCTAGTCAGCATCGTCAGCCTTAGCAATCTCAACAACTTGTCAAAGAGACAAGGAAAGGCGATTCTTTTTCCAACTGCCTGATAAACAGTTATGGTATCTTTCTTTCTGTCCTGGGCTATTCCTCCCACTATGCCGGGAGTGTTGATCCAAGGCTACGGTTTAATAATCAATCCTCTCTCTTCAGGTCCTATCAGAGTCCCCTCCTGCTTCGTAGGATCCTTCCCTTATCTGCCTGTCTCACTGATTTCACTTTAGCTCTGACAACGTATATGTAGTTCTTTCAAGGAGTTGTTCCACACTCTGCCTCAAGCCTTTGGTAGCACGTTACACCACCCTTATTGAGCAAACCCCTAATGTCTGCATCCTCAATTGGCATGGCAACCTACCTTGACAGTGCAGATTCCCTTATCGCTGTGCGGCATGTGCACCAAGTAAATCTCGTGGTCAAACCCTTACTTCATGAACCACGTGTATGAGCAAACTCATCTACTAATAGCTAACCAGAAATGATCATCACCATTTCTCTCGCTCTTCTATGGCATTCTATTGCGTGCCAATCCCCAAAATGTTATGGTTCTACTTGATTTGAATAGACTCACTGTAGAAGTATTCTCTTGGTTTCCAATCGTTCTTCTTTGGCCTCCTTATAATTTATTTTGCTAAAATAAAAAGTATTACATTTGTCCAGCCGTCTTCCTTTTGCTGATATTGCTTTTCTTTGATTCTATCCGAGTTTGCTTAGGCATTATACAAAGTTTTCGCTAATCCTGCCTCCTGTTCATTAGGTTTCTTTTAATCAGGATATCAACGGTTTCTCGTATCTTGCATTTTCTTGTATTTTCACCATATTCAGCCAGCCTTTCTGTCGATTTCCACTTGATTTAATGTCCCGTTCGTGCGATGTATTCCGTTATTTCGGATCTTTCAGTGCCCATGTTTCTGCAGAGTCTTTGATGTTCCTTGATTCGTAAGCTAATCTTTCTTCCTGTTACAGCACTCTTCCATTTAGCGCATTTAATGCTATAGACTCCCGGGCAATTCAGTTTGTCAATCCTCTCGTGTTGCGTTGGCAGGCTTATGAAATGGGCTGTCTTTTTTTTGTTTATCACATTGATGCTCCATTTTTTAGCAACGGTCGCAATTTCTAGCTTGGTTCACAGGAAGGCAGGCACATCCACTTTTTTTTGTTCTCCTGAATTCTGATCTTATTTCTCAAAATCCTTGTTGAATTCTGCTCATTATGATCCGTAAATCTTTTTCTATTAATTTTCTGAGGTATCTGTTACTAAGGCAAATCCGAGTCAGTTTCTCCAATTCCTCGTTCTATAACTCAGTGTCCATTAGTATTTAGCTTCTTACGATACGATGGCAGATATGGGGCGAAATCATTGAAACAGTCAAATAAGAGAATGATCCTACGGAGCATGAGGGGACTCTGATGGGACCCGAAGAGAGAGGATTGCGAATTAAACCGCAGCCTTGGATCAGTATTTTCGGCACAGTTTGAAGGATGAGGAAACCAGCGGGGAGTGTGAATAGATTTTGAATAGGTCTAGATAAGCATTAAAGAAATTGTGATATTGAAGGGGTAATACGAGGATATATGAGAGGCGACTAGCTTAGGATAGAAGGAGATATACCACCACTGTCTAGCACACATTTGGTCAAATGATCGACCTCATTTGTCTCCTTGATGATTTGTATTGTAGTGTTAAGAATGGCAGTGCTCATTGACGGTGCCGACTACGGTGCTGGGAAAGCGTCTAGGAATGCACCAAGTCCACGGCCTGAATCTGGAAATTATCATGCATACAATGGACTCCGAACTAGGTGCGTTTCTATAGGTCTTCCTGCCAATATGACCAAATTGCGAAAACAAGATCAAACAACTTGTAAACTGCTGCAAGTTGACTAATGAAATTCAGCGGAAGTTAATTCGTCTTTATTGACAGTCAAAGTGTTACACTATTTGGTATTACCATCTTTTACCTTAATCATCGCTTGTATTATGCTTTTCATCGACTCTAAGAATGTCTGCAAAATTTGATAATCCATATTGTTTTACTACTCTTTTAGAGAATCCCGGTAAATCTCTTGTGAGGCTACAATATGTTTCACCTTTTCTTTTTCCAAACGTCCTAAGGATGTTTAAGTTGTTTGAGATTTTTCAACTGAGAAGGCAAAGCCATGCAACTCAACATTTCTTGGGGTTTTTTCGCCTAGGCCTGGAACGGCCTAGATTTATGTATAGGTTCAAAGTTCTTTTGTAAAATAAATCCTCTTCCGC